CGGGCTGTGCGCGTCGCGTCAATATATATATAGTATATATATATATATATATATATATATGTACATATATGTATATATATTACATGTACATATACCAGCGCGACTGATGTCTATAAAAAGATTATAGTATTTGTTTTTAAACTGTACTCTTGCTATCGCTTCGACCGTACGTCATTAGTTGTAAATTGCTGTAAATTCTTTCGACTGAAAACTCGAACCGATATCCTTAGCTCAAAATGCCTTCTCTTTTCCGTCTCACAAAACACGGCGGTGGCAGCGGCTGGCGGCGGTGGCGGCGGCAGCTTACGGTCGGCCGAAAACTCGCGATTCGAGCCGGCACACCGCCCCGACGCGAGGACAATAACCCGCCGTGGAATTCGATCGCGTATATACGCCGCGACGAGAGCGAATAGGCCGAGCTTCTCGCCGAGACTCCGATGACTTTCCAAGGATAGGAAAGGGGGAAAAAAAGGAACCGCAAGCACATTATGGAGAAACGCCGGCACTATTCACGAAATAAATCTTTCGGAAGGGGAAGGAGGGGGGGAATAACGCGATGAGGCCGCTCCCCGGAATGGAGCGATACAAGAATGACCCCGGCACGGTCTGATTTCGTGAAGACACATTCGCATTGTCGCGCTCCGTTTCCTTCGCCTTTGTGGCCCTTTTACCTTCACGAAGCTGATGCTCGTGGTGGTGCCTTCGATGTCGACGAGTACCGTCTTCGCGAGTGAGATCTCGTCCTGATCCTGGCTGCGCTTTTCCCCGGCCATTTTCACGAACCGACTCGCCCACGACCGTAGGATTAATAGCGGTTATATCTATATGTATGCTCCCCCTCGGTTAGGTTGGCGCTCACGCTGTATATGTCGGCGACGACGCGTTCTTGTTGGGAGCCGGCGAACGAATTCGCTGTGTTGGCCGTGCGCCAATCTACGCTGCCGGTATATGCGTGCGAACTCGCGAGTCCCCCTCTGCTCGTCTCGCGTCTCGTGTCGTGGCCCGCGCCCTGCTAGTGCTGCCTGCTGTACCCGGTAACCATGTCCGTATCAAGACATCTCGGCTGCCCCAACTTTCACTCGACCCGCCGATTCAACGACTCGTGAAATAGAAAGCCTAAACCATCTAATACCCGTATTCATAATCAGGCCTTATATTTAAGGCTTCTTTAAATTTATCTTTAGATGCGCTCTATGAATTATTTTATTCTCTACTGAGCATCTAAAGATCAATTTAAGGAAGGCCTTAAATATAAGGTCTGATTATGAAATATGGATATATGAGTCATCCATAAAGAATACAATATCCTTTTGTTGGACAAACTTTTATTGGACAATTTTTTATACAGATATTTTTCATTTATGAATTTTAATAAAACGGACAAGTGCATCACTACATTTCGATGCTCCTAATAAACTAAACGTCGATTAACATTTTTCCTTACTAATTTCTACATCGCAGCAATTAATTTTTTCTTTTAATAAAAATTCATATCATGCGATATGAATATGCGATTGCGATTGATGGGAGTAAAAGGGAAGGAATACAATTTTCGAAGAAGAAGCACCGGGTTCCGCGACGAGTCGCGACGACTCTGGATCGAATACAAAACCGCTGCTCATATTAACGTGTAGATACTTGCGATCGCATGGCAGTATGAGTGCGCGGCCGCGAATCGCTCGTTCCACCTTGAGTTTTCGTCCAATAAACTGCCTCGGTCGTCGCGAATCGAGATGTGCGCTTGTGTGCGCCCTACATGCAACTTTCTTGCCTACGCGAAAATTTCGCGACGGTGGACCTCGTGGAAAATCATCCACCTTGGCGAGCTTCCTCGATGGACCGGCACGAAAAGTTACGTCGTGCCTGTCCTCGTCCGCGAAAGAGGAACGATCGGTTTGACTCGATTAAATCGTTCGAATATCGACTTGTTGACGAATCTCTCGCCGATATCCCTCCGCGAGAAAGTAGTCCCGTCGCGTGCTTTTTTTTTCACGTTGACTTTCGATAAACGACACGTGACTCGACGAACCTTGAGCATTTCTTTCGAAATTTACGTGCATCATGCTGCAATATCAATTATTTCGCGATTCTGAGATGGATATTTCATCGTTGCGATTGAAAATCTGTCTTGATTGTACGTTCGTCCATGGACTTACACCATGGGCAACCACCTGATTTTTGCATTGCTGCGTCCATTTAAATTTCTGCGTGACGCGCGCACGGTAGTAGCCATTTAAATTTGAATGAAGATGATCGTGTTGCTTTCTCATTTCAACGATGTTGCGTGATGCAAACGTACGAATGTTTGCACGATATATTCAGAGCTGAGCATGTATTTTAATACTTTTATTTAAAATACAGTTTTTACAAGTACTTTTGTATTTTATATTTCAGTGGGACACATGAAAATATTGCGTATTTAAAATCGAAAGATTAAAGTGTTGTTTTTTTTTGTAATTCAAATAATAAAATTGATTGTCTTAATATTTGAATGACAAAATCCAAGTATCTTTATACACTTCCATGAGACAAAATATTTTCACGTGCTTCGTTGAGATACAAAATACAATTGTCTTACACATACTATTTTTCAAATAAAAATATTTCAAATACATGTTCAGCTTACCATTATAAATTTTTTTATTTTCCAGGAGATATGCTGTTAATATTAATATATTTCAAATATACATAATTGTATAAAGTTAGATAATAATTGTGAAGGTGAAAGTCACAGTAGTGTAAGTCACTTAATTACGATTTCGAGAAACGAAAAGTTTTTTTCAATATATTTACTTTAGTAGACTGCACCAAGTTGACCTCAAGTTGAATCTAAACAAGTGACTTACATTTATCGTTTCCCTTCAAAGATTGTATTGTTTTAATTAATTTTATTTAATTATTTTATTAAATAATGATTTACAATAGTGATTATATCACATATATGAAGCATAAGTGTCAAACGATAACATTATGAATAAATGACAATCGATTCTATGTTATATCCGTCTATAACAATTAATTAAACCTATTTATTTGTAAGTACAATAATAAGGATTGTAATGAAAACATAATCTAAATACAAATTAAAAATAAACGTAAAGATAATATTGAATATATAAAAATATTACTAATCATTACACCAAAAATTATATAATACATGTAAATGTACATATAAATCAAATCACTAATATAATTAATATAATTTATAGGTCCCTTTTCTTTAACTCTTAACAGTCAATATTATTATATTTTGTCGTTATATGTAAGATCTGTAAATATGTAAAACAATGTAACGACACTGATATTATCATTAAGAGTTATAGAATAGCTATTTATTTGGTGCAGCTGCGTACGATTAAGAATTATGTAAATTATTCTACATATACAGTGAGTGCAAAGAGTATTCACGCAGAGAAAATATTTTTTAAAAAAACTTTATTTTTAAAAAGTAAATATTATCCAGTGAGAAATGAATTATCGAATTGATGTTGAATCGTATAAATATGATGATTTCGACGTCAAATTAATGTAGAAATTATCATAATTTAATTGACGATCATTTCTTGTTGGATAATTAACAATTTATTCATAAAGAATAAAATAGACTGTATGTTTCTTAAAAATTATATATACCAAAAAGATATGTATTAATTATACAAAATATATTATTTGAAAAATAAGCGAAAATTAAAAAATGTATTATTTGAATGCTCAAAAAGTATTCATACGAGAAATTTAGTTTCTAAAATCAGACGTACATGCGAAGCATATATAATAAAGCTCGTTTATTTAGAACAAAATGTATTCAAATTGTATAAAATTGTTAATTAATGTTTATTTTCTACAAATTTCTTTGTACGAATACTTTTTGCTCTCACTGTATGTATTTTAAAAATGTATATATATATATATATATATAGTTTCATATACATATATAACTATATCACCTATAACATTACTTGGAATCTAATTTACTTAATTTTTCACGGAGAAGTGTTTGTCCAGATGAATTGTAATTTGTTGTATATTATCGCATTTAATTTTGCATTCTGGTCACTCGGGTTTGTGCATCTTTTTGCGATGATTTAAGCGATTAGCATAGCTATCGAATGACTCGTTGCAATCTCCACACTGGTAAAAAATGATCGTGTGTTCTTGGTGATGTAAGTTCCTAGCATCCCTTTGTTTGTCAGAGTACTCACATGCGATCTTACTATTGTGTAATGAAACATGATGATCAAGATCTTTTTTATCTGTGAATGTTTCATCACACTGCTGACATTTATTATCATTGTGTTCACTTTGAATATGCCTTATTAGGAATCGTTTGGCTTTGTATACATTTTTGCATATATCGCACTGAAATGCAAGAGGTACAATTTTGCCTTCATGTACCTTTTCCTTGTGTGACTTGAGCGACATTTGATGCTTGAATTTCTCTTGACACTCATTGCATTCGTACAATGGTTTTTGATTCATTATTAGGGGGTCTTGACGGTCAAGCTCATGAATTCCAATCATGTGATTCTTTAACATACGATAGGTCGGCAAATTATCGTTGCACAAAGGACATGTAAATATTCGTGGAAGTGATACATTCTTATCTTTTTTCCAGTGTCTCTCCAGATGTTCATTCCAATTCTGCTTTTTAAGGAACGATTTGCCACATATCTCGCAAATGTGGCGATTAGAGACATGAGACTTCTTATGAAATTTTAATGCATGTGTAGTCCTACATCGCAGGCCACATACTTCACATTGATAAGGCATCTCACCAGTATGTTTTCGCTGATGTTCCTTCAATCGCACCTTCAGCTGAAATGACTTGCCGCATATTTCACAAATATGTGGTCTAAATCCCTTATGCACAAAGAGATAATGTTCGTATAAAGAATTTTCCCCACTGAATTCCTTACCGCACGTGCTGCAGATAAACTCGTCCATATTCTCATTATGTCGCATCTTGTGGAACTCGAGTCTCTCCTGACGCATAAAATGTTTATGGCACTTTGCACAGTAATATTGTCGCTGGGAAATTCCTCTTATTTTACAGGAGGCGCACATTGCTTCATCGTTAATAGCATTAGGATCTCTAATCAATTTTCTGCAGACTTTGCATTTTCGCCTCGGTCTTGTAATAATTTTCTGATTGTTATCCACATCTGTTTTAATATTTAGCATTGTTTCATTATCAGAGAATTTGCACGTTTTCTGATGCGCAATTAAATGTGCCTTTTTCATGAATACTTTTTTACATTTCAAACAAAGATACTGTATTGAGCTTTTGTGCATGTGAAGGTAGTGATCCCACAACAAGTTTTCATTTTTAGTTTCTTTATCGCATTTTGTACAAACATATTTATCTATTTTATTTAATTTGTGTCTCTCCATGTGAAATTCATATTTTTCTTGTAAAATATAACGAGCTCCACATAAATTGCATTCTTGTTTTAAATTATTTTTTGAAATATTGATGTCATTTGTATCATTTTCATTGACATATTCTTCTTCCATTTTGGTCACGACCATTATGTTGTCATCTTCAATTCCTTTATCATCAGTGATGTATTCAATATTATCATTTTCTGACTGGAGTGTTATCAAATCAGTTACGTTTGACTTATCATAATTACTATTTGATTCATCTTGTTCTTTTGCATTTAATTTTACTCGAATTATTCGCGATTTACCAAGATATTTCTTTTTTATCATATCCCTTGTATTAGATTCCTGTTCATTTTTTATTTCTTCACTAAGACATTCTACACCATTGTTTACTGATTGAAATGTTATTAAGTCAGTTACATTTAATTTACTGTAATCACTGTCTAATTCATTAAAACTTCGTTCCATTGTATCTAATTTTGCTTCTAATTTCTGCATCTTAGTAGGATTAATGAATGTTTTCATAGAAATATTTTGATGAATCTTTCTCTTTATACCTGCTTTCAGTTTACATGATACATCAATTTTTTGCAAGTTACCATGTTTCCTTTTGATATCGCATTTATTATCATTTGTTGTATTTTCATTGATAATATTTTGATACAATGATTCATATAATTTATCTTGTGCCCTTGATTTCAATGTACAAACGTTAAACTCTTCTGCATTATCAGATATTTGATTATTCTCTTGCGATTGTTCTATTTGATTTACAAGAGCCAATGAAGCATGAAATGTATGACTACTATCTGAAGGATTGTTTATTAAGATTATTAAATCTTTATTGCAATTCGGACAGGGATATATCATGTCACTGTGTAACTTAGAAATCACCACATCTTCCAATTTTTCATTTTTATTGACTTCAAAGAAAGAGACAGTTCTTGTCTCACATTCCTTCGAGTATACTAATATATTTTGAATAAAATTATAATGACTGATAACTTTATCATAACAGTCTAAACATATATATTTGAAATGATCATCTTGTGAAATCTATAAAAAATTAAACATATAGTAATATTTTATAGTAAATTACTTAAAACTTATTTAGTAGTAAATTAATTAGCATACCTTAATTGGTAAAGTCTCATTTATTATCTGTGCCAAATTAGTTACTTCATCAAAGATATATTTCAAATGTTCAAACTCAAATTTAATACCACATAGACGGCATATATCACATTCCATTTTAGATATTTCTATAAATTATATGAAAACTTCTTAATATTTTAGAAAATAATTTTATATTTTTGAAAGATACAACATTTTCGTATTGATATCACTGGACTTTTTTTGAGAACGTAACCTAGTGCAAAAAAGAAAAAAATAAATATAGATACTAAGGTTCAAAAATTTTAAAAATTAATTAATATAAAAGAAAGGACTACAAGCCAAGTTGGATAGTTTTGCCCTATATTAATAAACATAAACTATACATACAATAACAAACATTTTAACCTGTTATTCTCAATGTTTAAATTTACAATTAAATTACAATTAAATATGGTACATGTTGATAAAAATGGAAATAATAGTATGTTATTTCCATTTCTAACAATATGTATAGCATTTATTAATTTAACTGTAAATTTGAACATTGAGAATAACAGATAGGAGTTGAAACGTTTGTATTGTATGTATAGTTTGTTTATTAATATAAAATAAAAAAACCTAGCTTAGCTAGTAATACTTTCTTTAATATTTATTAATTTTGTAAATCTTTATAATTATAACTATATAAAAAGGAATATATTTGGATATTAAAGAGACAAAGTAAAGGCAGAGTGCAAAAAGTGCAAACAACATGAAGAAATGTAATTCTTGGTAAAATGATTTATTATCAATGTACATTAACTTCAATCTTGGTTCAACTAATACTTCATCTTTTTCCAATTCTAAAAATTAGAAAAAAAAATAAAGAATTAATTGAATTGAGATTAAGTTAATATACATTGGTAGAAACGGACATTAATATTAAAGTGCAAATTGAACCAAATATATCATACATACATTATAGTTAGTTTTACTATATACTCATCAATTAGTTTTAAAACATACCGTTTTAAGAACATTACAGATTTCCCATAAAATATTCTTGCAAATAAAATCGTATTTTGAATTACTAATTTTCTCACATGTACTATTCTTTTCTTAAAAATACTGAAATGTTCAACGATTATATAGGTTAAGGACCTCTTTCTTTACTGCTTAAATTAAGGACAATCAACTAGCAGAAGTGCCAACATTGCCAACATTGCCAACATTGCCAACATTGCCAACATTGCCAACATTGCCAATATTGCCAATCATTGGCTTAGTTTACATCGTGCACTTGATACGGGTACTAACTAGTAACTTTCTATTGAATTATCTTAATTCGGCGATACGTGTAAACATATACACGAGATATGTATTTAATTAATCATTTTGATGCATATTGTATCAATTTAGTACAACATTTTTTAAATTACATCGCTGAAATTAAACTAATTTAACAGAAAGATACTAGTTAGTACATGTATCGAGTTCACGATGTAAACTAGGCCATAGGTTTGTTCGCGTTAAGGCTTAAACACAATAGGCACAGGCAACAGGGAATAACGAGCCATCAATCAGAGCTCTGATGTGTAAGTTTGATATTATATCCCAGAGCTCTGATTGGACAGCTTATTATTCCTGTTCCCTGTGCCTATTGTGTTTGAGCCTTTACATGAAATATTGTAAATCTTCAAATATTTTTGGACGGGGTATATTTCACGGAGTAATAAGGAGATCAAACTCGAGGTCTGAAAGTGGGCTCAGAAAACGGAGAACTCATAGGTAGGAAAACCCATGGAAAATCCGGCAAATGTGATTTTATGCCATCACGCCTTGAAGGAAAAATTAGAAGTATTGTATGTCACGTGGTCACAGATCACACACAAAGAGTAAAGAGAAGTAGGAGGGAATGCTTGGTTCTAAGTAAGTGGACAAAATGATTATATATTGTATATTAGCATAAAAAGTGGACGCTTAAGATAACTGCCATGACGTACATTTGTCCGCGGATTTAACTATCTTCACTGTTAATACATTCCTATTTCTCTTTACTCTTTGAGTATACATTAGTATATATACGATGGAGTATAACCTCTAAAATATAAAATTCTTATTATTACTAATAATACTGACCGATAAAAGGTTATCCCATAATAATTTCGAGCTGAAGTTGTTGCCCGGCAATGCACTATGGTGATTTATTTGTCGCTGAATATGAGCAACGGGCGACACCATAAACACATGCCTTTAGTGATGGAAATTTGGCCCCGCTCAACTCAGAAAATAAGCACCTTCACTTTTGCTTCACTAATTAACGTTCTCTACTAGTGGAACGCGGCGTCAATTGGCGGAGCAATTGGAGGAGCTGATTCTCTGATGGCGACTTTTATCAAGCTCCGATTAGTTTAAACAGTCTAGTAACTTTATACGATTCCAACTGAAACAGATGTCGGAAAAAAAATGAGAACTGAAGAGTTAATACATTTACATTTATAATTTCTCTCTTTGCATTTTTTCTCCGACATTTGTTTCAGTCGGAATTCTGCAAAGTTACTAAACTGGTTAAGCTAACCGAAGCTTGGTAAAAGGCCAGTCAGGCTCAGTTCCACAACTGATGGTTTTTGCCCACAGAACGTGGCAATGTTTGCCGCGCGACGGAAGTTATCGCACTAACCAATAATTCTATGTTCTTAAGGATCGATTGTTCTATCTTTTGGTAAATTTTACTTGTGAGATAAATCTGGTAATCCGTGCATGTGATTATCTTGCATGTGATTACCGTGCATGGGATAATCTTGCTACTTATCCAAGATAAAATTTACCAAAAGGTGGAATAATCGGCCCTGAGTCGGTCTCACCATGCAAAACTTCTAGAGTTGACGTAATATTACTTCTACCGCGCGGCAAAAGTTGGATTGAATTCAACTTTTGTCGCGCGATGGGAATTATATATCTATTACTTCTGAGCAAGCGAGATATTGATTGGCTATCGCGCCAATTTCCGTCGCGTGGCAAGCGTGTTGTCGCGTTCTGTGTGCAGGAGCCATTAAGGTGCATTTTCAGACTCCTCACCGGATGGGTGATCGTTGGGCAGAGTCAGAGAGAAACCTGAGAGAGGACATGACGGTCCAAAACTAGAGGGTCGATTCTATATCTTCAAACAAGATGAAAATTACAAATGAGCAAAATTACTAGATGTTTATCAATGAAATTATTGGGTCTAAAAAGTATCCGCGGTTCTTTGTCACTAGATATATGACCATCAACACACATCTAGTGACAAAAAACCGGGGATACTTTTTAGATGACCCAATATTAATATTTTAGTAAATTCTCTTTTGTAATTTTCACTTCGTTTCAAGATACAAGTCGGTATTCATAGTCGAGTCTTATTTCAAGATCTTAAGTAATGTCTTAAGATGCTAATGCCTTCTGATTGGTTCGTGATTTCTTAAGACTATACTTAAGGCGGTTTTGAATATAAGATCTGACTATGAATACCGGCCACAGAATCGATCCCCTGTAATCGCAAAATGCCGCGCACTACTGCTCTCTAACAAAGTGGATATAAACTACATAGCAACGTCTACTTTTCTTATGTCGTCCACTTTTCAAAGCTGGAGATGATAAATCGATATGCTACATGTAACATGATTACATGAATCAAATATCAATTTATCGTCTCCAGCCTTGAAAAGTGGACGATGTACCCTAAGAAAAGTAGACGTTGCTATGTAGTTTACATTCACTTTGTCAGAGGGCAGTTATGCGCAGCAGCATAATTTTGGGCAGCTATCATGTCCTCTCTCATGGTTTCTCTCCGACTTAAGTACTCCTCATATTGTAGAAGGGATTCAACTTATTCACTGTAAGTAAATTTATCACTCTAAAATGTAAAATGATCGGTAAATCACAGTGAAAATTTTACTACTATACGCGATAATGTTGTGTCTTAGCTCATGGACGTTTCTCTATCGTCATGGCTGGAAGTTATAAAAATTTTATGAAACTTTTGGAATCGTGGCCGTTAGATAAAAGCAAAGCTGGCAGGTAATTACGCCAGGCAAAATATTGTACATGTAATTATTTTAAGTGCAATGATCATTATCACTAGTTACTGACAATATTTGCTTCTGATATATGTATTATTATTAGTTATAGGTTATAGTAATTACGTGTAGCTTTTGAATTGATCTATTTTCTATCTATTTAATTCGATGATTTTTAGCGATTTGGGACAGCACATTCGTGATCAATTGAGAATTGCGTTTTCAAAAGGTGAAGCTACAAACCAACCGAATCCTGAACAGTGTAATCGATATTATTCAAGCTTAAAAAAGATTTCATCAAATTATTATGGTCAACTTTATAAACGCTCTTTGTTAAGCACTGCAAGTGGATTGAATAGGGAGGACTGTAATTTGGCGTTGACTCCAGAAGTACGAAAGTATTTGGCAGAAGAGGATAACGGATTATTTAATAGACTTCGTTGGACATTAGAATATTACAAGAAATGATAAGGCTTAAGTTTGCAAATAAGTTTGGTAAGAATAAACATTTTATTGATAGAACAAACACATTAGTAAAAAGTAATTCACTATGTTTAATTAATGTGAAGCAATATAGTCTTAAATCCGATGTCTGCTCTAACAAAGATCTTCATGTGCCTGTTATGGCGCAAGAAGTATTGACGTATATAGCTCCATCGCCAGGCAAAACATACATAGATATGACATTTGGTGCTGGTGGACATGCTACAAAATTGTTAGAACATTCGCCCAATATAAAAATATTTGCATTAGATAGAGATCCTTTAGGATTCGAATGTGCAAAGCAATTATCACAGAGATATCCAGGACAAGTAATTCCTTTGTTAGGTAAAT